AGGGCTGGTGTCGCTGTGGGCTGCCGTGCACTCGGTGTGGCGCCGCCCTTCTCGGAGGAAGGGCCTTGAGCCTGGTTCTCTGCAAAACTGGTCCGTTGCAGGCTGCCAGGCGTCCGTCCCCACAACCCTCGTGTAGAAAAGGAAAGGTAAAACAAGGAGTCTCTGAAACGTAACTGCACCCGGCGCTCCTAACCCTGTCTTGGGATGGTGCTGGCTGCAGGAAGCTGCTGTTTCACAACAGAAAGACAATTCTAACTTAAACTAGCAGCCTTGCAAAGTCCGTGTCTTCTGAACTTTGCCTGTCCAGTTTTGCTTTTAATGGAAGTTGAACAATAACAATTTTTATCTTTCTTTTCCAAACAGCTCGATGACACCCAGAAAGAAGTTACAGGGTCTTGTAGCTGCTACAGTCACTCCAATGACTCCTGATGGGTGAGTTGTCAAAGTTTCACTGATTGCTGTTACCTTAGACCCTTATTTTCTTTTTATTTGGAACTGATCACTTCTGATGATGTTTTGTGGTGGTGGTTTTTTTTTTTGTTGGTTTGAGGGTTTTGTGGTTGGTTGTTTCTGGTTTTGTGTGGGGGTTTTTGTTTGGTTTTTATTTTGATTTTTGGATTATTTTGGGAGGGAGGCTTTTTTTTTTTTTTAATTTCATCTCAGATGGAGGAACTATTAGCTTGCTCCCACTAGGACTAGAGTGGGACCCCAGATGTCCTCCCTACTTTGGAGTCAGCCATGTACCCTGAGCTTCTCTTGTGGGGGAATGTGTCAAGATCTGTATTTGTTTTTGAGGGAGACAGTAGAGATTTGCTAGCACAAATCTCTTCCAGTCCTCTGAAAGTGAGTCTTTATTTTTCAAAGCATGGTACTCTCTCATTCAGGCAGTCCATTTGCATTGCAGTCACTGCTTCGTTTCTTTCTTTCATTTTCATCTTCTTCTTGCTTTAAATGAAATTATTTCTGATTTAATTTTTTATTACGACTCAAATTTATTGCAGCATGGTATTTGGAGAGTAACCTGGGCCCTCTGCCTGGAATGCATGGCCCTTGTAAGATATGCTCTCGGAAAGCAGCTACGAAAGTTTGGGTGATGTGTGAACCCCAGTCAATGTACCAGGATTGACTTCTAGACTATAGAGTTTGTCTACATGTTTGACAAATGAAAATAATGATGAAATTCTATACACTGATAAAGTAAGTTTGTCGTGCAGAGCAGATAAACCTAGAATTCAATTTCCCCTATTTGTCAGGGAATTCTGTTGCTTTCCTCATTCTTTAATGAGAGAGAGGTCAAAGTCACATCCAGCAGATGCCATTTCCCTGTGTCCAGCAGTTAAATGTAGAGTTCAGCTATTTGCCAGCACTTGCACAAATATCTTCATGCTCTCAAGAGGGCTTCAGTTTCTCTGAGCAGTTGAAAAGTTTTGAGTGCGTCTTGTTCTCTTCTGTCACCTCAAAAAAAATTCTGTGATGAGCCTGCAGTAATTACCAATTGAGATAAAAGACTGTAACAGCAAATTACTTGTCAGGAGGAAGAGAAACTGGAAGAAAGAATTTGGAACTGAGCTGTTACCTGAAATGTTAAATATGTGCTGAGGGTATCATACCTCAGGGTAATCTGTGTGTGTACAAATGCAAGGCTTCAAAAATGTGTGTCTTTTTTTTTTTTTGTTTTCTTAACCACTAAGTTTAAGTGTTGCTGTGGTTCCTTTAATTTCAGACAAATTAACCTTTCGGTGATTCACCAGTACGTGGATTATCTGGTAAGCGAGCAGAACGTGAAGAATGTTTTTGGTAAGTGGTTTTGGTTTTTTTTTTTGACAGAAACTGTGTTACACCCCTTCTGCCTGGATTGGAATCCCATGATACCTTATCTGATAAAAGCTGTAGTGGGAGGGACTGTGGATGTGGGATCATCCTAGACATTTATATTCAACAGTGGAGAGAGTACAAGTGATACTTAAGGTATCTGCTTTTGCTCACACCCTATTTCTGAGTGGGATAAAGTAAGTGTTGCCTTCATACGGTGATGTTCCCAGAGATGAATGGATAATGCTGTGTTGGCAGGGAAGACTCAACTGAATGATTCTTCCCTTTGCCTGGTAAAGAAGCATCTGATTAAAAACCCACCATCTCAGGAATCCAGAGAATTCCATGGGCTCATCAAAGTCAGACGGGCTTCTTTAGGAGACCTGTGGTGCACCAGGCGATACTGAGGTGGTCACTGCTTCCATCTCTCTGCTCTGCTTCCATCTTGGGGACTGCTGCAGGGGCAGCAGGGATGGCTGGATAGAGAATACAGCACCTGCTAAACCACTTTTATTCACAGCCTGTCATAGTAAAGTACACTGAAAGTGATATGATTTTGGTTCAGAACTTCAGTAGAAAGACTGGCAAGATGCAGAACAGAGGATGGCAGTGACCACAGCTATCCCAGTTTAATCTGTTGTTTGTGACTGAACATACTGACGTTTCACTGTTTTCATGGGGTGCTTTAGCCTAGGTAGAACATGTGGTTCCCCTCACAGAAAAGACACCAAATTTCAGGTAAGGCTGGAGTAGAGATGGTCACTTTGCTTGGCTAGCTCAGCATCCCTTTGTCAGGCTTGTCCCAGCCTGACTCACTTCTGTGAGAAGGAGGTAGTGTTTCCTGGGGAAGAAGTGCTGGGAGGGCAGTTTCCCAGTTTCAGCAGCTGATTCTGCCTCCTCCCTCACAAAATTGCCAATCCTGAAACACCCAGGTTTCCAACACAAGCATTTAGTGATGATACGCCTGCAATCTCTGTGCAGATGCTGTTGTGAACCATTGCTATCTTAAAATGAGTTGGGGGGGAAACTTTTGTTTAATATGAAAAACATCAGTTCTTGTCTTCAGTAAAACCAATGCATGTAGGCCAGGCCTCAGCAAGTGTGTTGTGTTGAAACAGTGAATGGCACAACAGGAGAAGGACTGTCCCTTAGCATCCAGGAGAGGAAGCAGTTGGCAGAGGAATGGATATGCCAAGGAAAAGACAAGTGAGTAACTGAGAGGGGATTCTGGTTCTCATGTTATGATATAGCCATGCCTGACTGCAAAGCCAAATTTGCTGATGATTTTTGGGGCTTTTTTAGTATTTTGTTGTTGGGCTTTGCTCCCCAGCTCTTCTATCACAGAAGTCTGTGTTTTTATCACTACCAGTTAGCTGGTGTCCATTTCTGTTGCTTAGAGAGCTTGTAAGAGTCCTTCTCTTTGTTACACTGAGTGGAAGGGGGGGCAAAAAAAAAAAAGGGCCATGCCCTTGTTTATTCATGAGAAGAAATGAAAGTAGAGACAAATCTGCCTATTTTTGCCTTGTGAGCTTTTCTAAACTTTTTAATATATTAAATCTCTTGAACCTGTCTTCTGTCACTCACTGCTGCCACCTTAGTTGCTATGTCAGAGGATGAGAAGAGAAGGAGGTGTTTTGGGTGAGAAGGCTTTGCCAAGCCATTATCCATCCTATCTGAGAAGTCATGGCAGTTTGGTGAAGCTCCTGCTGACTGGAAAAGGGGAAATATAAGTCACATTTTTAAAAGGGAAAAAAGGAAGACCCAGGCAGCTACAGACCAGTCAATCTCATCTCAGTGCCTGACAAGGTCATGGTGCAGATCCTACTGGAAACTGCTAAGGCACATGGACAATAAGGGGGTGATTGATGACAGGCAGCATGGCTTCACTAAGGGTAAATCATGCCTGACAAATCTGGTGGCCTTCTATGATGGAGTCATGGCATTGGTGGGTAAGGGAAGAGCAACTGATGTCATCTACCTGGACTTGTGCAAGGCATTTGACACTGTCCCACATGACATCCTTGTCTCTAAATTAGAGAGGTGTGGAATTGACAGATGGACCAATCAGTGGACAAGGAATTGGCTGGATGGTTACACTCAGAGAGAGTTGTGGTCAATGGCTTGATGTCCACGTGAAGGCCAGTGACGAGTGGTGTACCTCAGGAGCTGGTATTGAGACTGGTTCAACATCTTTTGTTGGCAACATGGACCGTGGAACTGAGGCACCCTCAGCAAGTTTGCTGACAGTGCCAAGCTGTGTGGTGTGGTTGACACGCTGGAGGAAAAGGATGCCATCCAGAGGGACCTTCTCAGGCTTGAGAGCTAGGCCTATGTTAACTTCATGAAGTTCAACAAGGCCAAGTGCAAGGTACTGCACCTGGGCCAGGGCAGTGCCAACCACAAATATAGGTTGGGCAGAGAATGGACTGAGAGCAGGTCTGAGAAGAAGGACTTGGGGGTGTTGGTTGCTGAGAAGCTCAACATGAGCCAGCAGTGTGCGCTTGTAGCCCAAAAACCAACCATGTCCTGCGCTGCATCAAAGGAGCGTGACCAGCGGGTCGAAGGAGGTGATTTTCCCCCTCTCCTCTGCTATCATGGGACCCTGCCTGCAGTACTGCATTCAGCTCTGGGGCCCCCAGCACAAGAGAGACATGGAGCTGCTCGAGTGAGTCTAGAGGAGGACCATGAACGTGTTCCAAGGGCAGGAGCACCTCTCCCGTGAGGCTGAGAGATTTAGGTTTGTTCATTCTGGAGAAGAGAAGGCTCAGGAGACCTTAACACAGTTTTTCAATACCTAAACAGGGCCTGCAAGAAATCTGGAGAGGGACTTTTTACAAGGACATGTAGTGATAGCACAAGAGGTAATGGCTTTAAACTGCAAGAGGGCAGATTTTAGATTTGATATTAGGAAGAAATTCCTTGCTATGAAGATGATGAGACACTTGAACAGGTTGCCCAGAGAAGCTGTGGCTGTCCCATCCCTGGAAGTGTTTAAGGCCAGGTTGGACAGGACTGTGAGCTACCAGGTCTAGTGGATGGGGTCCCTGCCAGCGGCAGGGGGGTTGGAACAAGATGATCTTTAAGGTCCTTTCCAACTCTTAACCATTCTATCATTCTATGATTATATGATAGTGAGCAGAAATATACTGGTGTGAAGGCTCACTTTTATGGAGCCTTTATATGGATATGGAGGAGTAACTCAGCAGTGCGACTGATGGACTGGAACTTGGGAGTGTCCATTGGCAGGAACAAACAAGCAGTCAAAGGTGCTGCTGTGAGGTTGAACTCTTCTGGTAGTTCTGCAGAGAAATAGGTTTAGAAAGCAAAAATATGCTTTGATATCCTTTCCTTTTCCCAGCTTCCCCTTAAATACTTAATGTCTTAATTTTAACTTCCTAATAAAATGCTAAGATTTGTCTCTCCTGACAGCCTTGCAAATACGACAGCAAGGAGTCATATGATTCATATTTGCAAATATGTTTTCTTTTTACCACCACCAGCTGCTTGCCACTGTCAACATTTTCCCTGTGTGTCTGCTCATCAGGTCAATACAGGTTCAAATCCTTTTAGGTTTAACCTGTGTTCTGTGGCTCCCTGGTATGAAGTGAGTCAGTCTGTCAGACTGGTATTTTTCACCATCACTGAAACCTTCCTAAACCTTTCAAATTTGTTTTTGTGCAGATTGGATCATGTGATCATTCATGTTGGAGCACTGAGTCTGCCAGAGTCTCAAGAGCTGGTGTGTATGTAGAGGGATTCCTTTTCACTATGTGTGTAATAAATATAAAACAGATGTACCTTCAGATACCTTCCATGCTCTCTTTCATAGGCAAGACATGCAGCAGCCATAGATGCTAGTGGTATTGCTGTAATAGTCCCCTTCTTCTTCAAACCCACAAACAAAGGTGAGTAGATGGGATTGCCAGACCTACTGAGGCCTTTTATATTGCCCTCCAAATCTTTATCATAGATAAAGGATTAATGCCATCTTCTTTCTTTGGAAAATACTCTGGTGATAGTGTTTGCACACCTATCATGTCTGGCGCCATGCAAAAGCAAAACCTAGAAGAGGCATTTTTTAAGGATGGGAGATACCAGAATTCTCCCAGTAAGAAGCGGGAAGGATGTCTTTTGGAATGTATTTTGTTAGCCTCTTGTAAAAAGAAGAGTTGCTTATGGAAGGAGCAGTTAATTAGTCTGTCTTCTGAATAGATAGTATAGAGCTTATGCTTGATCTGGGCCACATGAAGATGCAGTAGCTTCCTTATTTACCCTTGCATGGCACTGACCAAGTTGATAAACTGCTGATACACAGGCATGCCTCTTGTTACTGAGGTCATCAGGTTTGGTTCTGTGCACCTAAGATAACCCCAGAACTTAAATTGTTTTGCTTTTAATAGCATAAGCATAACATAAAAACTACATGAAGTGGAAATTTGTAACAGAAATGTTAAAAAGCTGTCTGAATTAATTATTAATGTCCATATGAAAGCATCAGAAGAAACCAGACTGTATTGCTAGAATGGCTGGTCTTGACAGCCAAGGACACAATCAGTGGCAATCAAACTGGTAAGCATAGAGGAACAGGAGAGATCAGCAGGAGACCTCACTATTACTAATAGGATGGCCATGAGGTTTCAGCATGTTGTTTTTTGCCATTCCTCTTCCTGCTAAGCCAATAGGAAGACTGCCTAAGGATGCAGTGAACAAGATTCTCAAGAAGAATGTCAATGATAATCACAGAATAGTTGATATTGGAAGGGACCATGGGGGGTCATCTAGTCCAACCTCTCTGCTCAAGCAGGGTCAACTAGAGCACATTGCTCAGGATTGTGTCCAGTTGTCTGTTTGTCCCCGGGTGCAGGACTCTGTATTTGCCTTGACTGAATTTCAAGAAGTTCCTCTCTGCCCATGTCTCCAGCCTCTCCACAGGCACTGGCTGCTGTGACTCTGACCTGTCTTTCACTACAGTGAAAGATAGGATAGTCTCCTTCTCTTATGGGGGTACTTGATTGTTTTCTTCCAGACGAGCTGATTGCTTTCTTACAGAAGGTTGCATCTGAAGCCCCTGCAGTTCCATTTTATTACTATCATATTCCTCATCTGACGGGTGTGAAGAGTAAGTACTATTTAGTCAGCTCTTCCTGAGCCTGTAGGCTCATAGCAACCTGGGTAATTCCAATTGGTGGTGTGATGATTCTACCAGCCTAAACCAGGTATGTGGTCTCTGCTCCCATCACAAGCTGTAGTGGAAAGGATCCTTTCAAAAAAAATGGGAGGTGAATCCAAGACTGAAAAATAAATTGAATTCCTCTTCATTGGAAAAAAAGTCATGGCTTATGAATACTGAGCAACTGGGATGGAGGAGGTGATGCTGACCATGGCTTTGCAATTAATGTGAACCAGCACAGGTGATTGCCTTGGATAACCATAGGTAAACTCCAACTTTTTGCAAGATACTGACCACCATCTCTTGGTGTACACTGAGTGCATAGTCATGTTTGCTAGTAAATCACTTACGAAACCACAATGCTTCTCCAGTCTTATTTAGCAGAGGAATGAGGAAGAGAATACAGATCTTTGGTTATTTGCTCTAGACAGTAGGTTATGTGGTGTTTCTGGATGTATGGATTTGTATTTTTTCTTAATTATGTTGTTGCCAGCTCATTGCTAAACTTTCACTTATCCAGGGTTTTCCCATTCTGAGCTGGTAAAAGAAATGCTTGAAAAAGCGTGGAAAGATGTATTTTGTGTAACTCTGGGAAACAATCACACTGAAGTTGTCTTACTAATTTTTTTAGAGCTATATAATTTACCAGGCTTAGGCCAAAAGTGAACAACTTGTAAAGTAGTCAGTCTCCCTCTTGGGGACAAGGCAGGGAGATCTTCCAAATTAGGGGTGTTTCTTCACATGAGATTGCTGGTTTGCACAGTTCATGTTGAAGAGTTGCTGGATGGAATAAAAGAGCGGATCCCCACGTTCCAGGGTGTGAAGTTCAGTGACACGGACCTCTTGGACCTTGCACAGTGTATAAACAAGAATGAGAGTGAACAGTTTGCATTTCTTTATGGGGTGGATGAGGTAAGAGGCTCTTAAAAATAATTTCTTCTAAGGCATTCTTTTGATTCAGCCTCAGGGGAAAAAAGTAACCCTGGTCATTCAGTGCCAGGCATTTTTGCTGCTCCCTCCCACCACCCCTTTTCTTTTCCTTTATTTTGTTACGTGAAGTAAAATCTTATTTTTTTTCTCCCCCCACCCCAAACTAGCAACTGTTGAGTGCACTGGCAGTAGGGGCAAACGGAGCAGTTGGAAGGTCAGTATGACTTGGACTCCTTCCCCTTGACACACACACTGTATTGTTCTATCTTCCACTATCTACACGGTGTTTCTCTGTCTCTGTCACCACAGCAGAGGATTTTACATGGTAGGGCTGTACAATAGCAAGCAGATAGACGAGCCAGCTCCAATGCTAGTGATGGGACAGTCGTATAACCTGGGATCTTGGATTATGTTCATTCAGGTGACTATTGCTGCAGTCTGTAAGCTGACCCAAAGGTTTCAACATATTTCTTTATCCTCACAGCAAACTTTTGAAGTAGGGAATCACTTTTATCTTCATTATATGGGTAAGGAACCAAAAGCCAAGAGAGGTTAAAATCATTAGTTCACATGAGAAGTCTGTGAGGAAAAGGGCTCTGCTGAGTTTAATTTCTGATTTGTCTTCTGCCTGCTTAGATGTATTAATGTGGAATATCTGTGTTCTAGTCTAGATGATCCATTAAATGAACAAGCAACTGGAAAATTAAGTGATTGACTTTCCATATTATGTCTTTCTATTTTTAATTTTGAAAAGCAGTTCCATTTGGAAAGAACTGGGATAAAAAATCTACTCTCTAAACTTTTCTGTAGGGTTTGACATACTTCAGTATAAACCGCCTGTCATAATAATAGCATTCCCATAGTGTCAACAGCTTACTTCTTTTGTTTAATGGTTCTAAGCTCCTCCTTTGCATTTACCAATTCTATTTTTGGTTTGGGTTTTGGTTTTTTTTTGGCAGTACATACAACTATTTGGGACGAAAAAACAATCAGATGTTGCAAGCCTTTGCAAAGCCAGACCTTGCATTAGCACGGAAATACCAGGTATATGGTTTGTCGTCCATACCCTGAGGTAGCTTTATTAAAGCAAGCTTCTTTCAGCTCCAGCCCCCCCTGCTTGTTATTCATCTCTCCTCACCTTTTTGACCATTCCTTACTAACTTTTAACCAAGATCTGCCTTACTTATTCAACTCTAATTTCATACATGCAGAGTGAGCAATGGCCTGGCTTTTTCCATTGGACAAGCCCACAGTGGCCAAGCCTCTTGACTAGGAATATTCGGGGAATACCTCCCTCCCCTATTCCAATGGAATTCAATTAGTATTTCCCACAGACTGGCCAAGTGGCCAAGGGCTTTTCTCAAAGCTGTGCAACAAATGTATAAGATGTAATTATCTTAACAGTTCTGGATGCTTTTATATCTTAAAATTTTAAGGCATTAATAAACTACTGTCTGTCTTTTCTAGTTTCTCACTGGGGAATTTCTCAACTTTGTCATCAAACTAGGTAAGCCCTACACTGCCTGTTTCCCTCATTACATGTAAAAATGCAGGCTTGGTGCTCCTGAAACTCTTAATGCTGCTGTACCCTCAGAACTTCCTTCCCAAAAGATTTCAGTGAAAAAACATTGTGTCTGCTGTTTCCTGAGTTAGTAGCAGCTGGGAGCTCAACAAAGGCAGCTGACCAAGCATCCCTGACAGATTCCACTCTCGCTTCCTTCCTTCTTCTGTGAAACCTCTCAGCTTTAAAGCTGTGACTCTGATTTACCCTTTTTCTTGTCCTAACTCTTTGTGGGTTGTTTGTTTTTTTTTTGCTCTGTCTCCAAAAGCTCATTTATAGCTTTGTTTCTACAGAACCATTTTTCTGAAATGGTGGTGCTCCAGTAGGAAGACAGCTCTGAGAATTGTCTCTCTTGCCTTGCTATAATTGAAGAGTAACTCTGTTCAAGGCTGTACAAGGCCAAAGCATTTTAAAATAGAATGAGTATTAGAAACAAAGCCAAGTTTTAATAGAAAAAGCAATTAAACCCAAACACATCAGAGTAGTGTGGGGAGACTGAACTGGACATTTCCTGGTTTTCACTTAATAAGGAGAACTGTTCACTGTGGTTTTGCTATACATATTCAAGCTCGAATGAATCTAGCTGAGGTTTAGTGCTTGGTTTTATTTCTTGGGTTAAAAGTCAGAGGAAATGCATCATTATTTAGCCTTATAGATAGAAACAAACATTGAATTTCCAGACGTACATAAGGACACTTGAGCTATGGACAGAGAGCCTCCTGAAGTTGCCCATGGTGGTTTAAGCTAGTACCCAGTGTCATGGGTCACATGCCAGCGGGATGTCACTACTCCCAGGGCTTGGCTTTATGTGAGTCTGCATCGGGAGATAGCTAGGAGGCTGCAGACATCAGGTTGCCGTGAAGACAAATGGGCTGGGATAGCTCAGCCTACCAGCGAAAGTAAGTAAGTTTGAAGTGGCCTGATTTTTGCTTTTTTACCTGTGGAGGACTTGCACCATCTCTTCTATTGTCAGGGCTGCATGGCAATACATTTTGGCAAGGAGAAATGAACACACATACAGCCCTGGTTATCTGTAAAGCGACACAGTACTTTGTAAAGTGCATGTCTAAGACTGCAATCTGCTTGGTATCTTTAGGCGGCAAACAATAATGGTATAATATATAAAAAATGTAGCAAGCAGGTGTAGTTTTTACTGTAACGTCTTTCCTGTCTATAAGCATGATCACCTCTCCTTAGTTACACTGTCCACACTTCTGAGAAGTGCTTAAAGCCTGGTTCATGCTGAATTACACAGGAACTCTATGCTGCTGCTTTTTTGGACACCTGTATAGAGACTGCTTTAAGCAAAATGATCTGTAAATGTCCTGATCTTTGCTTTTGTCCACCCAGGTTTTGGTGTTGCACAGACTAAAGCTGTAATGACTTTTGTTTCTGGCATTCCCATGGGACCTCCACGGCTTCCACTTGTCGATGCCTCTGAGGAGTTCATCATCAAGGCCAAAGCCAAGCTGGATAGCATTGTGTGGCCTGAGGGTGACTGATACTCAGTTCCATGTCGATCTGGAAGTGGAGGCTCCTTTTCTGGGATTCACTGTCACGTGGTACATTGCCCACGTGATGAACGGTGATTTCTTTCAGGGAACTGGCAATGTGCCTGAGCCCATTCTGGTTACGGCCGGCTTTGTTGGTGCACATGTAGTCGCCTTTTTTACCCTACTCCCTGGAGCTCTGCACATTCCAGGACTAGCTGGTATCTTTTAATAGTAATAAACAAAAAAAGGCAGATTTTCCCCAGTTAGAACATACTGACCCCTTTTGTCTAGAAAGGGGGAAGATCTGTCTCCGCTCTCTGTCCATCTAAATTACGTTTTGTCTTCCCCTTTTGTGAGCACTACATCGTGGGTTTAAGCAGTGGTATGACACCATCTGTTCGCTCAGGGCAGTATCTTGCTATTTGACAGAATCACTGGGACACTGACTATGCATGCAGAATTCTGGTTTTGTCTCATCTCATTCTGTTTATACACCTTTACTTAATGCAAAATTAAAAAAAACCAAACAAACCCAAACAACAAACCCTTTGCAATAGAAAGCTTTCATCTCTCTAATAAGCAGGTATTTCTCCATCTTTTTCCTTACTATGAAAATAAAGCCACAATTGAGCTGTACATCTCTATACTGCAGTGAAGAATGCTGTCTTATGTTAGAACAGTCGGATTTAAAGGTGCTCTTTTGCACCCTGGACCCAACCTCTCTCTACCAGCTTGACCTCTTACTGTGCAATGGTTTGTGCAGCTGAGCAGTGTGAGGTCCTGTGCCCTCTACTGCTCAGCCCATACCTCCTGACAGTGTTCCTATATGCAAAAATAATCACACAGGATGTTTGGAAGAGAGAGGTAAATGTGGAGGCGTGTCACTAACGGAAGAGTGTGAAAAAATCTACTATCTTCCTCTTGATGTATAAGCACCGATCGAGAAATACAAAATAATGAGTTATTCCTTCCCCCACCCCCCTCCCCGCATTTGTAAAACACTAAGGGAAGTTCGTCTTTGCCAGGAGCTGGTGAGCAAGCACAGCCGGCCCGGTGCTGTGGGTAGCTTCAGAGATTCTCTCTGCAGGGTCAGGCAGGCCGGAGCAGCTGGGGCCTGCAGAGCCCTTGCCCTGTGAATACACGGGAATTGCTTTGTAGGCCCTTTTAAAACTAAATCCCCATGCTGCTATGCCAGCAGGGACTCACTGAGTATCTCAGTACAGGGCACAGCAAATGGCGTCTAGGTAAGGGGTGAATTTTCCTAGCAGACCCCAATTACTTTGCTCCGCTCCGTGCTCTGTCAAGTCAGGGAG